ACAATTCTTCATTGATAGAACAATTATTTTTAAAAGAAAAACTATTTAAGTATCGCATACAGTTATTGACATTTTTTGAGAAAATATCATGGAATCTGCATCTCAATAAAAAGGAATTGTGTAACTTCTCTTGTGACAATTTGAGATCGAGATCAAAAAACAACTTACAAATGGGAACATAGTAATCATCAGCAATACATTGTAATTGAGAGTGAAAAAAAGGGAAAAAATATTCATTATTATATAGTAAATTGTATGTTACGTCATGGAGGTCTACATGATAAAGCTCATGTGATTTGTGGTAGTCCATTGTGCGTGGGCCGACTAAAGACTGAATCATGAAAGCCATGCAGCGCCCATCAGCAATCATCCTCCCATCCGCATAAGAAACTTCCCAGTGAGCTGCATAGATATGCAGCAACAGGTTGATTTTCATCCAAACCTGAATAGTCAATTTGATAATAAAACTACTGTCTTCTTGCTCCTTTGCCATAATTAAGGAAATTTCAAATGAAAAAACTTGGAATCTTGGAGCATGGCTATTTATTTCATATATTAGTTGGACAATGTGATCCAATATTTCGGAGTCATCCTGACTCCCTCTTCAGGGAACTGTACAATTTACAATATTTATAATATAAAAAACATTATGACAAATTACATTAAATGAAAATATAAGTCACCTATGCAGATGCGAACATGAAAATGCCAAACGCAGCATGACTGATAAAGACTAGTCAGTCATAACCACGGCAATGGAATACTAATAATTAAATAATCTTAATATTATAAACTTTATCAGTCAAAATGTATGTACAGTTAAGTTATCTACAATATAAGTCACATCCTGACTCAGCACATGTAACTGGAAGATATTAAAAATAGTAATATGGTGTTAAGGTCTTGTCACCACATAAGGGTGCACCCACGGTCAATGTATGTACAAGGAAACACGGACCAACAGAAACGTGGCCATCAAGTGGCACACCTATCAAGCAACACTCGTCAAGAGCAACGCCACCCATGCATCCTGTCTCTAAGTTCATATAAAAAGGACTTATAATGATCATGTAGTTTATTGGTATCTAGTTTTCTGTTAACATTACGGTTGAAGTACGAAATATATAACATCTCCGAAAATTCCCTTTTAAATTTGTTCTTTTCTTGGTCCAAAATTTTGACTTCATCGAACTTGAAAGTATGGCTGAACTCAGAACAATGCGCGGCAATGACAGAATTTTTATCACACTTGTGAACCATTCTCTTATGTTCGTCAATACGTGTGGCCAACCTGCGCTTACTTTGGCCTACATAGAACAAACCGCACTCGCACTCTATTCTGTAAACAATGCCACTTCTTTTCAATTTTGGAGTCTGATCTTTACCTAGTCGGATTATGTTCGTAAATTTATTAGAGTTTTGGAAAATAGTTTTTAATTTGTGTTTAGAAAAAAATGAACGGAGAGTCTTTTCGAGACGAGGATAGAAGGGTAAAATAATGAATGAGAGTCTAGAACTACCTTCCATGACTGGTGGCGACATCTCACAATTGGTGAGTGAGTTAATGTGGTTTTTGTTTTTATTAAATCTATTGATAATACTTATTCTGGCTTTAATGTATTTTTCTATGAAATATGTAGGGTAACCATTCATGATAAGAGCTCGTCTCGCTCGATCGATGTTCCGCGACCTAAACTTCGGATCTGCTAGTTTGAAACATTTGTCAATTAATGAAAAGACTATTGCGATTTTTTGTGACACTGGGTTGTGAGAGAAAAAGTTTAGAAGTCTACCAGAAGATGAAGGCTTACTATATAAATCTATTTCACAAACGGAATCTGCGATACGAGTGATGGTGACGTCAAGAAACGGAATGACGCCGTTGTCTTCACGTTCAACCGTGAACTGTATGAAAGGGTTGAAATCATTAAAAATTCCCAAAACAGTGTCAACACTGTCCGATTGGATGATCAAGAGACAGTCATCCACGTATCTCCTATACATCAAGCAAGAATCTCTACATCTCGGCAACACGGATTTCTCCAGGGACTCCAAAACGATTTCTGCAATCCAAGGAGATGTACATCCACCCATGGGAGTACCACATGTCTGTTTGTACGTATGATTGTTGAAAGTGAAATAGTTGGAGTTGATTAGGAAGTCTAAACCATCAAGAAATTCTTTTCTGTCTAGATGCATGCTGTCAAGAATACGCCCAATCTTCTCCTCAACACTTTTTTTGATGAGAGAGAAGGGGAGGTTTGAGTAAAGGGAAACCACATCAAAAGAGACCAATAGATAGTTATGTGGAACAATGAGATCCCTCAGCGTTGATTTTAGATCATACGAATTTTTTAAGGAACTGGGTGATCTTTTGCAAAACTTATTGAAAAATTTCGAAAACCATTTGTCGAGTGTATAGGTTGGAGAACCAATAGCGGAAACAATGATTCTCACGGGGAGCCCAGGCTTGTGTACCTTAATAAGGCCATACGCTTTGGCCAAGTTACAACCACTCAGTTGATTGACATCAGGCCGGTCAATCTCAACGGTATCAAAGACACCTCTATTATCCCATACATCGACCAGTTTTTTTGTAGAATTGATAATACGAGTGAGATGGTTAGCTCTTTTTTGACTATCGAGCCGATGGTAATACATACTGTCACCGAGTGCCCTCTCAACCTTGTTAATATAGTCTGTTTTATTAATAACAACGGTGGCGCCACCCTTGTCGGCCCTGGTAACCAAAATTTCTCTATGTTCTTTTAAGAACATTTTTGTCTCATTCAAATGATTATTTATGGTTTTGTCAAAATAACTAATTTTCTTAGAATTAAAAATATTTTTCTTAATTACTTGAAGATAGGTTTGTCTAATCTTTTTACTGGTATCAACTTCTATTTTTTTATTAACAGCTAGGGCAGCCTCCAGTGGCTTAAGGAGGTTAAAAATCATATTGACATTTAGGTCACTAACAAAATTAAATTGTGGTCCAAGTTTTAGAATAAAAAGAACTGAGTCAGGAAGTGTTACATTTGATAGGTTTTTAACGCATTTATCTAAACTATGTTTATTGTTTTTGTTATATAAATCATTAAAAATATTGAATTTCTCTACATATTCTTTCATTGGATTATTACATTTGGCAAGACATCGATTTTTTCCATATTTTTTGTTGTCAGTAAAGGAGGTCAACTGTAAACATTTGCATTCTAATCTATGGCGGAGAGACAACCGCTTATAATATTGGTTTTTATATGAGAAATAACTAAGAGCATTAAAAAATTCATTACTAAATCGTCTCACTATTTTTTGTTTGCAAGATAATATTCTATGTTTGAGAACGTGAATGTATCTATGTGAGTCTTTAATTTTAATGTTAAGTATTCTTTTTTTTGTGAGAAAAACGTTGGACAATTCTTCATTGATAGAACAATTATTTTTAAAAGAAAAACTATTTAAGTATCGCATACAGTTATTGACATGATTTGGGAAAATATCATGGAATCTGCATCTCAATAAAAAGGAATTGTGTAACTTCTCTTGTGACAATTTGAGATCGAGATCAAAAAACAACTTACAAATGGAAACATAGTAATCATCAGCAATACATTGTAATTGAGAGTAAAAAAAAGGGAAAAAATATTCATTATTATATAGTAAATTGTATGTTACGTCATGGAGGTCTACATGATGAAGCTCATGTGATTTGTGGTAGTCCATTGTGCGTGGGCCGACTAAAGACTGAATCATGAAAGCCATGCAGCGCCCATCAGCAATCATCCTCCCATCCGCATAAGAAACTTCCCAGTGAGCTGCATAGATATGCAGCAACAGGTTGATTTTCATCCAAACCTGAATAGTCAATTTGATAATAAAACTACTGTCTTCTTGCTCCTTTGCCATAATTAAGGAAATTTAAATGAAAAAACTTGGAATCTTGGAGCATGGCTATTTATTTCATATATTAGTTGGACAATGTGATCCAATATTTCGGAGTCATCCTGACTCCCTCTTCAGGGAACTGTACAATTTACAATATTTATAATATAAAAAACATTATGACAAATTACATTAAATGAAAATATAAGTCACCTATGCAGATGCGAACATGAAAATGCCAAACGCAGCATGACTGATAAAGACTAGTCAGTCATAACCACGGCAATGGAATACTAATAATTAAATAATCTTAATATTATAAACTTTATCAGTCAAAATGTATGTACAGTTAAGTTATCTACAATATAAGTCACATCCTGACTCAGCACATGTAACTGGAAGATATTAAAAATAGTAATATGGTGTTAAGGTCTTGTCACCACATAAGGGTGCACCCACGGTCAATGTATGTACAAGGAAACACGGACCAACAGAAACGTGGCCATCAAGTGGCACACCTATCAAGCAACACTCGTCAAGAGCAACGCCACCCATGCATCCTGTCTCTAAGTTCATATAAAAAGGACTTATAATGATCATGTAGTTTATTGGTATCTAGTTTTCTGTTAACATTACGGTTGAAGTACGAAATATATAACATCTCCGAAAATTCCCTTTTAAATTTGTTCTTTTCTTGGTCCAAAATTTTGACTTCATCGAACTTGAAAGTATGGCTGAACTCAGAACAATGCGCGGCAATGACAGAATTTTTATCACACTTGTGAACCATTCTCTTATGTTCGTCAATACGTGTGGCCAACCTGCGCTTACTTTGGCCTACATAGAACAAACCGCACTCGCACTCTATTCTGTAAACAATGCCACTTCTTTTCAATTTTGGAGTCTGATCTTTACCTAGTCGGATTATGTTCGTAAATTTATTAGAGTTTTGGAAAATAGTTTTTAATTTGTGTTTAGAAAAAAATGAACGGAGAGTCTTTTCGAGACGAGGATAGAAGGGTAAAATAATGAATGAGAGTCTAGAACTACCTTCCATGACTGGTGGCGACATCTCACAATT